GTTTAACGAATACAATGCTCTGTATAAAACTCGTATTTACAAAATGTGATCGATTTATATAATATTAATAGTTCTGTGTATTTTTCTCTGTATCTCTCTTTTCTTCATTAAATCTTGAGATGCCTGCGCACCAGTGCTCTTTGTTTTTATAACGATTTCATCTATTTGGTAATGTTATATACGCGCGATTTATAAGTGCCCGCCGATAACGTAAGTTAGTCATCCTGCCAGAGGATAAAGAATCTCGTAATCTTTAAACGGTCATTTATAATGTTAACGATAATAAAGATAATAATAAAGGTAATAAAAATTTCAGTGAGACTAATAATAATAATGGTCGATTGTGTCGATTCTGCGGGGAATTGGCGTGTCCCGTGTGACGTGCGTATGTCGATTTGCGCTTGCAATGCACGCGTTTCTTTAAATATATTCGGCACAAGGAATCGCGTTGAGCGATTGAATTATCGTAGATGTGAAAACGCTTGATTGTGAGTTTTCTGCTACTAAATCTTGGATCAGCAAAGTTCCCTAACTTCGAAAATTTATTGAAATCAAGTAGACGTACATAATACGTAATAGAAATTCATTTGAGCATTACGAATGTCTTATACAAATAACGCAATAACAACAAAATGTTCTCGATAGCATAGTGAATGCATAAATGAATTAAATGAATAAAGAATGCATCTAAAAGATTGCAGTGGATGTGCGTCATGTATATTCTCAAGAAATTAATGCGTAATCGATCATTCTGAATTACAACAGCATCGTTCATCATCGATCATCATTACATTAATGATTGATGAATTGGTTTAACATCGCGCATTCGAAAGGACTACCGTTCGCGATTTCGAAGCTTGTGTGTTGTATCGCAAGATGTATGCAACGCGGTTTTATTACGTTAATTATTTCGTTATCCGTAGAATTAATTAATTATTACATTAATTAATTATTTGCTTTACTTTACACCTAACTGTATGTCTATCTAAGGAAGAGTTTTTTCACCGTCTTTCGATCATGGGCACGCCAATTCCCGCCGTTTGTCCATCCAGCTTAAAGATTCAGCGTAAACAATAGGCACGCGTACATATCACCATATACGCGCGAATAAATGCATATAGCTACCATAGAATATATCACAACGATAAAACGAGTTTAGATCCTCTCTCTTTCTCTCTCTCACTCTCTCTTTTCCCTCCCTCTCCCGTTTATTATAGAGACTCCGAGTAGATAACGGATGTACAGTTATATAAATTGCACACAACGCTTCCGGTTGGGGCGGACGTGGAGAAATGTATCGATACTTATATATTATGTACGAACGCAGCCGAAGAAAGAAACGAACGAGGGCTGGACACGCGATTTGCGCCTTCTCTCGCGCACGACAAACTCGCGCCGCCATCATTTTGCATTGTATCGCGTGACCGCGATTGAGGACCGGATGCCAAGTGTTCGGCGCGGAAAACGCGAAAGCGAAATAAGTCGCCGAATTAACGCGCGAACGGAACACCGTGGTCGATTGTGTCCGCGACGGCGAATTATCACGGTTGAATAATTATCTCGCGGGATACGCGGGATGTGAGTCTGTTGGGTGTCGTGTAATCGCGCGCGGTATCGGGAAACGTTGAGAGCCAGAGCGCGTGCAATCGTCATCGCGCGGAAGAGTAAAAGTACGTACAGCGATTAATCCGAACCGGTACAATTTCGCTGACTTGAAATTTCGATTTTTTTGTCGTGAACACTGAAAAATCGCCACTGTTATTTACTTGCACAACGGAAACGCGATCGAAATTATACCGGTCTCAAATTGTAATCCTAAGTACGAATATACACGCTACGGGAATATAAAATTGACATATATACTTGAGAATTTTGAAAATCACTCCCTACTCACGGTCCTAGAATTATTCATTTTAGAATCAGATTTGTTGACATCGACTCAGAGAAGACAATCATTTAAAAAACATCTAAAAACATCTAAATGTCATTAACATATCTAAGAGATTTACTAATCATTAGATGTTTTCTGAATATCTTACGCCGCTTTGGTAATGTTTTTTTTTATATTGTTTTAGAGAAATGTATTTAATTGAGTGTATTAAAAAATCTATTGATATAAATTAGTGCTTTCAACTTTATACGGCTTCGACGAATTAGTGACTTGAAGAGGTACTTTTACATTTTTCTCTTTCGATTTTCGTGTAAAATTTAAATGTTTGTTCGACGGAAGAACGTTGCCAATTGAATTTAAATATGATATAGCTTAATAAGTGCTAAATATATCGTGTAATCGCGAGAATTCGTAATTCTCTTTTCGATGATGGAGTCGATAAAGTTGACCGATGTTATCTAATAAAAATCGTACGGTTCAGCGTTTTTCGCATTAATAAAACGTGACGCTCGAATATGACCATCCCTCCTTCGTTTCTCTCGAATATCCAAGATGGATAGTGGCCCAAGGCAGAATTCTGGATTACGGATACCTATTTTCATAAAGAATTTTCGCAGAGCACTATGGGCGAAAGGATCTCCATATTAAATGCGCGACTGACAGTAGCGTCTGGTAAACGGACTATTTGGCGATTGCGAAGTAGAATGGAGGACGAGAATGAGGAGAGGAAGAGTAAGAGCGGTGGCGTAGAAGGGATGAGAAAGAGTCAGAGGGTGGGTTGGGCGTGTCAGCTGGTCGATATCCTGAATGGCAAGCTTCCACGGCCCAGCTTGCAGTCAGCCGCTACGTCCGAGGGGCAAGAGAGAAGGCCAGCGCAAAAAGAGAGCTCACATATATATATGTAACGTAGAATGTTTCAGAAAGTTTTCCGCGCTTTTTCTAAATCATAAACACCGGAAGTCTAACTAAAAAGAACGTCGCTCAATTGTTCTTGCATTGCCAGCGCGAAGATCGGCAAGTTTTTTAAAGAATTAAGTTTTTGAAATATGAAAGTAATGAAACTTTATTTTTCAATCAATTTTAAATCGGGTCTAATGAAGTTTCGAGCTGAAGCTTAATTATTGAGATTTATATAATCGCGAAAATTATAAAAGCAAAAAGATAACATCCAATCTAATCTTTTACTGTGGAGGAATTCTTTACTGAGGCTACATTTAAAAGAAAGTGCTCGGCTACTAGGCGAGCTTATATATATGAAAGACGCAAAGAAGAAAGTTCCGAGTGTAGGTTTTGGAAACTTCTTGTGTAAGTGATCGATGGTCTATAATGGCGAACAGGATTTCAGAAAGTACGAGCCGCGAGTACGCAGCATCCGAAGAGGAGGAAGTAGAACACCATGCAATTAACGTTAATTAAATTGACAAAACATTGGGCAACGAAATACGTTGAAACAAGAAGACCGAAGTTGTACGCTCGGAACTAAAAGCAGCCCGCACGAACAAAAGCGATTGTATTTCACTGTCTTTCTTATCTTGCAATAAACACTATAAAGGATGAGATTAGCAACGACTTAAATCAATAAAATTTAGTGCGGCTACATTGGTTTGCCATTTGGAGGCAAATGGGCAATATAAAAACACGTAATTTAAAATACGCAAATAATGTTTTCGACGGAAATGTTTAATATTTTGGGATAATAAAAATCGCGAGTGGATAAATTAATTTTTATCACATATGTGCTATTATTTCTCTGTCATTATTTTTTAATATATAATGAAAGACATGTCCATTTGTGAAATGTGTGTATACAAAATTATATAATTGTTTTTTAGCGAGAATCTTTTTCAAGCAAAAGTAGGTACCAAACGAGTACCGTGTTGCATTCTGCCTTGGTCCGTCGTCCCTCTCGATTTTCTCGACTCGATTGGAGTGTTTTTTTTTTTTTACGTCCGATCTATAATCATCATATGTCCCGGGAGATTCCCTACGTAAACAGTCGCGACTACGTAGTACGAGCTAAGATTACTCCCGATTGAGCCATGTGCACACGCACGTACACGCGTGTATGTAGAGACGCCCTGGGACGAGTGACGATAGTTATACCGATTTCACCGTAGCGGCGACGCGAGTCATATACATATACAGAAATACAAAAGTCGCGCCGTGAAAAATCGTAAAAAAGTCCTACGAAATGAAAAGAGACTTGGCTCTTACTTGGCCATAATCCAAATAAATGCGGATGCTGAAGGATGTGAGGCCGCCACCGTGAAATCCGAGCCGCTTTCGTCGTGGGCGTTCCGCGTTACTCCGCTTCCGCTCCTTCCGCCGTCTTGTCTTTGCCGATCTCGCGTAGAATGCTGATCGATACGTCTGTACGCGTCCTGTGCGTACGCACGTGTGCACGCACGTGTCTAATATATGCATGCACGCGCGTACCTAACGTGGCCGCGTACGCGCGCGCGTATATATATGTTAATATACATATACTTACTGTACTTACTTAGATAATAAGTCGCACCAGTCTCCGATAGTACATTGTTTATCTTCGTTCGGAATGTGAACTTTCCCGCCGTTTCTTCGTTTCACGCGCGCGCTTTCACTCATACATTAATACTCGCGTTCATTCGTTCCCGCTCTTTCTCTCTCTCTCTCTCTCTCTCTCGTTCACTCGCATACACGCGCGCACACATGCCACCATGCGATTTCCGCTACGTTTCCTCTGCGCGCGAACAGGGCTGTTGACGGCGTCAGAGCGACGATTCATCCTCGACCTCGACGAACGTCGATAATCCTATATTTTTCCGTCCTCAAGCTGCTCTCGATTGAATCGCCGCTTCAAACCGACGAGTTCTCGGTGTTGTTCTTAGCGTTTAGTTAACGTTACTATGTAATGGTGGCTAAATTGACAAGTGTTTATATCGAAGGTATTTTCTCCGTTTAAGAACTAGAGACCTAGACTGGCAATGTTTTATGGTATGTATGCTCGTGGATTCGCCTTCGCGATTGAGCTCCTGCTTACTGTTCCGCTTGCGTCGCGACATATATATTTCTATTCGCGCGACATACCTATATATATATATATATATATGTATATTTATGTATATAATATATATATATATTTTTTGAGTCTTTTTAACGAAGACGCCTCGTGGACAGCGACGATAGCCAAGGCACACGCGTGCCCGATCGCTGATTGACGAACGAGAGCCTGTAGAGATTGCCCGATAGAAATTGCGGTAGCCACCACGCCGCGCAAGTAGTGGGGGGGCGCGCATTTGGTAAAGCCACGCCGGCCGGAGCGATGCGGCGCGGCGTCTGAGAGTCGTTCGTCCGTTTCTACTTGCCGGTGATCGCGAAGTAGTCCTACTCCGCGTCTAGGCAACCGCGCGGCCGCCCGCATTCAGTCCGCTACTACTTCCAGTAGAGAAGTGGTTACCGCGCGCTCTCGAGACGGAGCTAAAGCGCATGTTTTGAGAGCACCTCTCTGGTCTGCGAGCTGGTACGGAGCTGTCTCGGATGTCGTTCGCTTTTACTCTACTCGCTTTTACTACTCCCGCCCCGAAGTAGTCACCGAGCGCGTCTCGATTTATCCTCCTCTCGAACCGTTCTCGTCTCCTCCTTTCGCGAAGCGGCCCTCGTCCTGTAAGAATGCTCGTCTCTGTGCATTCTTTTGCCCTTCTTCCTTCTCGATTCGGAGCACTGCGACGTCGTCGTTTACTTCGCCTCCTCGAGCAGCACGAGGTCATCCGCGACCACGTCGCTGATGTGGAGGTAAATGATCCAGTACATCAGATTGAAGCAAACGAAACATACGGGGAATACGATGCGGGAGTATTTGTCGATGTCCGACGGCGTTATGCCTATTTAAAAAACGTTAGCGACTTAGAATAGTTGCGACGCTTGAGATATAGGGGGAAAGAATTTCAGTGAGCTTCCGAGTTCGCGCGGTGCCGTTTACCCTGACGAGGGTATAAAAAGCGTCTAATAGTGCATCGTAATGCTTGAAAATATGTTGTACAAATGTTTCTTAAAATGCAAAAAGCTTTTTATGAGATGATTAGTGACAAGCGTTTTCGGACGGTGTTTCAAGCGTAGAGAGAAAATATATATATACATATATATATATGTATAATACAATGGCCGAGCGCAGGCGCGTGGTATCATCGGCCATGAATATTGCATAGTCTTGGCGAAGTTCAAAATACTCGCTATCCATATTGCACAATTGACGGCCTTGTCAGGCCCTTTACCCGATGATGACACCACGCCGGTGGCCTTCCGAGCTCGCTGACGGTTGAACCGTACAGTAACGTTTATTATGCACCGTTCAGAAGCTCGTTGAAATAGACAGCCTGCCAAGCTAAGAACCGAATATTGTTTGATAGCTTGCCAGGCGGGGGGTAAAATAGTGATATAAATGTGCGTACATGGTCTACTCATACCGTAGAGCTTGGTGATGTCCTTGCTAGGATGAATAATATGTTGCGGCGCACCTGCCGATTCTTCATCGGCGCGACCATTTATGGTGTTCTCGAGCGTCCCACCTTTGCTATGTGCCTTTGGGTCGTGCACCTTGAACCGCACCTCCTGGACAACATGGGACCACTTACAAGAGACACGGCAGTTTGCCGTGGGGTGTCCCTCACCCGAGGTTTACCCCGTACTTTTGTCGGATTAGCATGCGACACCGAGGACTGAGCAGTGTATTTTTTGATTGTTCAACGCGGTAAGACGTCCGATTTTTACGTAGTTATCGGAGCGATTCGAGAGACTCACCTGCTTTTATGTCGCTGGTGCGACTCGCGTCTGTTATAGTTTATTCGATTTAACGTTTTAAGTATAAAATAGGAAAAGTCTCTCGGTAAAAGAACCGCGGTTCGTAGAAACGCGCGGTGCGATTGCTCGTGCTCAAGCAAAACGGATTGGTGAAAATTCAATTAAAAGCTGGTGTATGTGATGCTAATTGATATAGATACTGTCGGGATAAGATGCGGGAGAATTATTATTTTATTATTATTATTAGTTGCTCTGATACACAATCTGTGGTCGCATTATAAGTGACTTATTTTTTTATTTTATATACAATAAAATAAAATTTGCATATTAATTTAATTTTGACTTTTTTGAAGTTAATAGTAATGCAAAGATATTAAATGAGCTTCAGGAAGTAAGATTGTAAAATATTTTTGATAATTCACTATTTTCATTATTGAATAAATTTTATTGTTAATAATTGCATTTGAAAGAATAATATTAAGATAATGAAAGATGCTAAATTTGATTTTGCTATCCTTTTCATATTTTGAAAAAAAGCAGCTATAAATATCTTGAAAGAAGTGTAATTATCAAGCATGTAATTAAAAGATTCACGTAACGTCATTAGGCATTTACCGCTGGATAACATGAATAATTAACTTTGTAATAATAATTAATTAAAATGTCTCATTCTCTTATCCGACGTTTTACGACCGTCCTTCGTCGTCCGTCCCGTTCATCTCTGTCGCTCGTTTACTCACTTCTTTCCGTCCTCCCACATTGTTCTCTTTCTTTTCCGGTCTTTTAATATTTTCTGTTTTCAGAAGAGAGGAAGGAGGGGGAGAAAGGGGTCTACAATACCCAAGATTAAAAGAAAATTTATAGTGCGTCGTGTCCGTGTTGGCATGAAGCACGTTGTCCGGCGCGTTGCGCGGCCGAATGGGAAATTCATTTCGCAGAACCTTTTAGCTTTTGACCTTTCGTGTGTCGAGCCTGCTGTTTTTAGTTCTTTTTTTAAGGGGGAGGGGAAGGGAATAGAGTGGATATTTATATTTTGCGCGATGATACGTGCTGAGTCGGATTAAGGATAATGCTCGGCTTCGTCCTGTTGAGCCTGCCCTTGTGAGAGAATAGCTTGATTAGCTCTAATATTCGTTTACTGCTGTCTATTATTGATTTCGTTTATTGTCTTCTATTAAATTTAATTTTTAATGTAGCGATTACCATATGATTAAATATTATATATATTGTTTAAAAGTTCGTCATTTAAAAATTCTTTTTAATTGAGACTTCCTTCATCGTTGACGTAGGCAAAACATATGATATTTGTTGTATGCGTATGTTTATATAATATCACACAGCTCTCGGGAGCCAAAAAGTTATAAAATAAGTGCTACGATTATATGCATAAATCTGTAAATCGTGCCACGATCGGGACATCTGGATATCTTGACAGAGCCGATCGTCTACTCGCTGAAAAAAAGCGTGTAAAATCGTCCAGGGGAACGCTAGTACGTCTGGATCTCCTGGTCGTACGCGGTGACAAAACGACATTCTGCATGGAAGAAAGAAATTCGGGTACGACGACAAACTTGGCCGTCGTTACTCACAGTTTGCTTAGGCGCATGATCGCCATGATCGCCGGGCACGCGCGGCGGTCCTGGATTTTCGCTCGCGGCCTTCATACTCTCGGCAATCTTTTGGAACCGATTCTTCCGCATCTGAATCCTCTTCGCCATGTAGCCCACCGTGGCGTACTCTGCGAAGAATAAGAATCCACAGGAATGAAAACACGTAACCATTCAATGCCATGACACGTCTGCCACTGTAAGATCCGGGCGGGAAAGCCCGGTTCACGGGGCCCACTTCCATCCGTCGAGAATCTCACTCATGCTTGCGCTCCCGGTACTTGTGTAGAGCTCACGTGCAGATGGAAGAAAGCCATTTCCCTGGAAACCCCCGATCATGCACCGCGACGGCGAAGTACCATGGTGTCGTATATGCAATGAGGTACTCGCAATCGCAGTTGTGAAAACGCAACAATATATGTGTCAAACCGTGCAACTAATCGATCGAACAAAATCCGCGGGAACAAATCTCTCACTCGCATTGGCCTTTCCTCTCTTTCGCGGTTTGCTTCGCGATAGCGATTTCCGAGACGCCGTTCCATCGCGGAACGAAGGTTCGGACCGACGAACATTTACGTCGTCGACGACAAGTAACGATTTCGAGGAAAATGGGTCCCTTGCATTTGTCACGTGAGCCCTGCACAAGTATCCGTCTACGATACTCTACGAGCTCGCTACTGGAACGGCACGGCTCCGAGCTATACGGAGTATATGAGAGGACGCAGGATGGAAAGCTTAATGGCAGCGACGTAAAGGCACGGAAGAGTACACGATCGCACTCACCGAGCAACGAGGCAAAGACCATGACGAAGCAGGTGCCCAGATAGACGTCGATGGACTTGACGTAGGAGATCTTTGGTAGCGCCGCGTTCGTCGAGGACATTAGGGTCGTCATAGTGAGCACAGTGGTTACTCCGAGGGCCACCCGAGCGGGGGTCGCGTTTCGGTTTAGCCAAAAGCTCACCCACGATATTATGACAATCAGCCCTGAGGGTATGTAGATCTGGATCAGGTAGTAGCCCATCGACCGTACGAACTGGATCTCGCAGGCCAGCCGCGAGTAATTCCCTACGATTAAAAGATCGAAGGTCAGGACAGGGAGACGGAGAGGCGCTATTTAATGTCTCTTTATCTCCCGTGCTCACTGTCCTTCCTCCTCACTGTTCGTTTATCTCTCTCTCTTTCTCGCTTTCTCTTTCCTTGTATCTCTCTCTCTCTTTCTCTTTTTCTCCCTCTTTTCTCTTTTTTCTGTCTCTCCCGCTTCTCATTCGTCCGTTGTGTGCTCTTCTCCCTTCGATCTCCGTTCTTCCTGCTCGATCTCCCGTTCCGTCACTGGCCTTTGCCAGGAAAAGCGGTTTCATTGTTCACGAATAGCTCTCTCTCTCTCTATTCCTTGCATTGGCCGGAAATACGGCGCGCCAGAGCTGGCTGGATGTTAAGTGAAATTCCCATCGTTGATGCGCGACTCTTCTCGTGCTCGTGTTGTATAGGTCTGTCAGTGGAGATATGCATGCATGCACGTTACAGTGAGATATATCGGCGTGTATTGTGCGCCGATTGAGAGGTTCGAGATGTAGTTACATAAGGAGAAAAATGAGGAATCGATTAGAATGGAAAATCGAGTTGTCCTTGTTGCAATTTGCATCCCACAGCGGCCTTTCTTCCGTTTTAACGAATTGGCGACAATTCATCTCTTGCATACCATTGTCACGAAAAGATATATCGAGAAGAAAGATATTAGTTTTGTTATTAGGATGATCGTACAGCATTTAATTGTTACCTGCGATGTAATCAGAGAGCAATACAAATATATCGAAGGGTGAAAGATTTAATGTTTGTGAGAAAAATCGTAAGTGCTAAAATCGTCATCAGCTGGAGTATATGTTACATCGCTGAATATCATACGGAATCGAGCTTGCTTATGAGAAACTGACGTGGAAACTGACGTTGAAATCTTATGACGGCAGTGAGATAATTTCGATATGTGAAGACAATTTCGATTACCCAAGGCTTCATTCAAACCAAGAATGGAGAGTTGTAATGATGATTTCTCGAGAAACCTGACTGCTGCCGAACATTAGAGCTGTTCAAGTCGGCGATCCCGTTTAATCCGCCAGCCAGCTCCGCTATTCGACGGGACAATATGACGCGCGAGATCGCGAGAAAGAGAGAGATCGATCGACGGCTTTACGTAAAGTAAGGTACACAGGATTACGACGGTTTTTCTTACGAGCGACAATTGCGCCTGCGGACATCGGATAGCGCTCACGTGTCTCTCCACCTTACCCATGCCGTTAAAAGCGAGGGTTGAACAATTATTTGTTGGTGGTGGGGGGTGGGGTTGTGTTTATACGTTACCGGTGGTAAGACTAATCTCCATGGCACGTTGACGATGACCGAGGACCTTGAACTGAGGCAGGGAGACCTCGTTGCTGACCCCGACGCTGTTCGGGCCCTCGTTCCACTTGTACCGGATGTCCCTCATCGTGTATCCGACTGAAAAAATAGAGAGACCCCCCGCGGTTGATACGTACCTTCGCGGAAGCCCTCAAACGCATTTCAGCTCCGAGGGGGCCTCCACTTACCTCGCACCCCCATCAAACCTTACGAGTTCCGCTCTCTTTCACTTTTTCCCCTTTCTCTCTGTTTACAATTTTCGTTCCTTTCTTTCTTTCTATCTATCTGTCTCTCTCAGTTTATCTTACTCTCTGTCTTTCTCTATGAGGGATACCCTTGCGAAGAGAGCTATCGAGAGCCCAAATTAAATTGACTTTAAAGGAGCATGTGGGCGGAATATCTGGCGTGTAATGAGAGATTATAATGGACGATCTTCTCGATGGTTAGGTACGATCGAGAAGCGGAAGGCGCGAATCATCCATATTTACGAGTTCGTTGTGTCGATTATTGTTTTGATGGTGGTTGTGGATGGTGGATGTTGGGCCAAAGGGTGAACGTAATACTATTCCTGAAATCCATTAGCAACTTATATGCTTGAGAATACGTATCTATTGCAGAGATGAGAAAACCCATTATCCGCGCATTGAGACGAAATTTAAATTTAAAACTCTGCAGCTCAAATGTTTTAAGTTTTTTTTTCTGTAGATCAGTATTGATACATAATGACAGATAGTAATAACAAAAATAGTACAACGTCCATCTACAGTGAGGAGGGAACTAAATCTGGGAACGATGGATATGCGCGACTCAACTACCGTCTGCGTCTTCCGTAATGTAGATAAAAACCGATGAGTCGATCAGTCGAAATGAATGGCCGTAGGACTGCGTTGTCCCACTGAGTAAGCTCATTCTTACATAATTAAATGTGTTCGCGAAGACAACACAGTGATCGGTGCATATCGATGCGGATAAGAAGGATTCATATTATATATGTATATATCACACACATGACTTGTCCAGTTATATATGCATACTACACACACACACACACACACACTCTCTCTCTCTCTCTCTCTCTCTCTCTCTCTCACGCACGCACACGCACGCACACGCACCCATCACACGCACGCACGCACGCACGCACGCACGCACGCACACACACGCATGGAGAACTGGACAAGCCGTGATCGCCCGTGTGAATACGGTGCACATTCCCACATATTCTTGGGACCAAAAAACTTTGCCATCTCGCTCTGATAGCGTTATCAATTATGATTCGTCATAATATTATATAAAATCGACATTTCTACATAATGTATGTACATACATATATTATCCACACGAACTTCTGGAGCAAGTTTAGAAGGAAAAACGAATAAGAGGGGAATATCTACCTGTAGATAGGTGTATGGTTGTCTGTCGTTGCCTGTGACCGAGCACGCGAAACTGTGGTAGTTCCACCTCGCTCGAGATGCCGACCGAGTGTGGGCCGGAGTTCCATTTGTACCGAATATCGCGCATTGTGTATCCAACTGCCGGGAGAACAAGAACACAAATATCTTCGCTCTAACATACAATAATTAGACACTGAGGTAGTGTTCGGTTTGGGACGGAAGGGCGGGTTCCTCGGGGAGTACAGTAATTAGAAGCAAAGTTATCGCGCGGGCAACCTAAAGCGGTTCCCGTTGTTGCATCCACGATCCAATTCTGTCGCATAAATTTCTTCTCGCGCGGAATCGATTTAGGATGCCCTCCGTGCCGCTATATCATAAACGTCATCGAGATAGGCATTGTAATCTTAACATATTCGTAAAAAATTTTTCCATAGGATTAATATCACAGTTGTTATACAAAAAAGGAGAGTCGTCATGATTTCTAAATTTTTTCTTATATCAAAGTTAGATTTATGATAAATAGAGATAATTTTATCTCATAAATTTCGGCTTTATATATCTTATATTTTATTTTATATGAAGAACTTTTAATTTTTTATTGATTTATATTTATCTCCCATTTACAAAATAATGCCTACTGAAGCGTCTATGATATTTTCAAAATTGAGTTTGCGGTTATTACGTCTAAGGCCACGCGGGGATTGTTATCAATCAGTCATGATATTCTTTTTTGCATTTGTGAGATAAATGTAGCATGCTGACTTGGCGACTCATCTATTGTTCATTCCTACCAATGTATATCCCGCGATCGGGATTGAACGACTATCGGGATTTTAACGATTATCGATCATAATTCGCGCCTATTTATTCTCTAATTCCTCCGCGCGGCCTCCAGCGCGTACATACCGCACCGAGAAACATTCCTCCGTAACTGAATCTTAGGTGATTACGATCGTTACACCGCATTCCAGGCACCAAAGTGGCATTCCGTCGCGGTGGCGGCTACATTGCGCGAGCATCGGCCAAACATGGATTAAGCGGTACGCCTCCGAATATGCCAGATTAATTGCTTTTGTTTTTGGAATCCGATTTTGAATGCCGTCCCGTTTTATCGCGTTCGGTACTACGCCGCAATTCCGCACGGCGCGGCGAGCACAGCTGCATGCGGCGTGGCGCAAAATCACGATTTCGATAATGACGTTACGATTTGCAGGCGTGTTCAATACTAACGGTCCAAAGCTCTGAAAACATCAAGTTTTGTTCATTTGCCGCGTTCAACATAAAAAGTATTTTTCGTACTATTAATGAGAGAATAGTGATGCTGACGTTTTATCTCGAATGTATTTTATAATATCTTATAAGCTATATTGCATATTTAGTCTCTTTTTCATCTTTAATTGCATTTATTATTGTAAGTGCTCATTATACTTGCAAACAAACCTAAAAAAATTACGAAATGAGAAAATCGCATTCAAGAGCAATAATGATCACGCCTAAAAAGAAAAAAAATTGCAAAAATACTTTGTGCGTTTGTTCATTCGTTCATTCGTTATTTTTGCCGATGGTCGTCGCAATAGTTAAGTGCAGCGCAGGAAATTAATATTTTTATAAAGTTTTAATAAAGAGGTTCTCTGGATTGGGGGCAACATTAAGCATCACGAGAGGTAAAAAGGTTGGAAGAGAACGGGGAAAAGGGGGGGGGGCCGGATTGTGACGGTGACTGTTGAATACTGCAGGGAGGAAGACTGCGGCAACATTAGCAAAATACCGAGGACTATGGTAGTGGCAGCAAGTTTAGTTTTAAGACGAAAAGTGGAGAGTGTATAAGTAGATATGGAGAAGCAGAAAGAAAAAAAATAGAGTTTTGCGCTCGGCATGCTACAGTGACAGTTACAGGCTCGGGGAAGGGAGGGGAAAGGGGATTAGGTTTACATATTTAGATTTACATATATGTGCTACATGCTTTACGCCGTATATTTCACTTATTGTGCTACATGCTCCATGCTACATGCTCCATTCTCCATGCTCCGTGTTTTGCGAGAAACGCGAATTTCCATACCGGCTTTACCGTCCCCTTCCGTTAAAATTCAAACGTTATCCTTGAATATTATCGAGACCGAATATTCGAATTAGGATTCAGTTACCCAGGTGTGTATATGCAACGAGAAGGATTGCGTTCCTGTGATGGTACTTTTACTTTTACGTAATGTAATAATCTAGAGTGTATTTCCGAAAAGTGCGATTTATTTGTCAAGCAATTAATACTAATGCAAAATTTTAATATTTTTTAATGTTATTTTTACTGTAGATAGTTTCCAACCTTTCTAAAAATTTCTGAAAAGACAAGTAAAATGTTGTCATTACGAAAAAAAGGAAAAAAGTAACTTACAGGAACTATATAATATATCTTTAAAATATATCACTTACTTATTTTTTATCTTGTTCTGAGATAGACCAAAATTAAATAATCATGCCGACACATGCCGTCGCTGAACTATATTAGATAATATCTATTGCTCTACAATACGTACAAAAGTTGCTCGAGGGAGAGTCGGGAGGTAGGGATGTATATATACCGGAACAAGTCGCAGATAAAAATATCAGGTTACAAGCAAATTCATGGGCATACCGATAACGTGACCACAGCGTGGTACGCCATGGGTAATGTTGCAGTATATTTTCTTTCTTACATGCGCTGGGCTAGATGCACAATGCGTTTTAATTCGGTCGGACCATTGTCGACACGTCGTTTCTGGATTTAGCCTCCTTCGGGGCTGGCCGTCGTCGGCCCTTACTTGCGTCCCCGGACACGAGGCTCAGTGCTATATGTCGGAGGCCCTTCAGGTTCGGGGGGCGGG